ACTCCAAGCCATGCAATTTATAATCCCTTTAAAAAATATCATTATATATACTGCATAACATGAAACGCAATTAGGTAGCAAGCGATTGGTAGTCATGCAAGAAGATAGATCAATGACTAAGGTGATACAAAATTCAGTTTTTCTAGGAACAATGTTCAAAATTTACAAGACCCCCCCCTACATTTGGCTTTGATCAAATGGTAAAAAACATTAATTTGAAATAGTTTAAAGGGCATGAGAGGTCAGCTATTGGGCCCTTGTACTGTAACCCAAAAACAAGCAAAGCACTCATTTAAAATTTCAAACCAAAAGTTGTCTCCACCTCCTCCCCCTTAAAAGAGAGAGAGATGAAACATCCCAAGCAAAGCCAGAAGGCATCAGCCAAGCAAGTACAACAAATATGTTATGCTGGAATTGGGGGAAAATGCCTATTTTTTTAATTTTTTAAAAAATTATTGAAGCCTAGAGGGTTTTAGGGCGTGATTTGAGGAAGGTCTTTGAAAAATGAACCCACTTTCACACTAAAAAGAAGCTGCATGGAAGGCCGTCCCTCCACTTTAAAGCTTCCATACAACAATATCAAACATGGAAGTGAGACGTTAAACTCCCACTTCCAAAAACTCCCAATTATCAAACACACCATTAGAGTATTATTTGTCATAAGAGTGTTCCATGATCCTTTTTCTCGGATGTATACAACTAACATTTTGTGGGAGGATCGATGAGCATCCAAATTAGGGGTGGCAATGGACTGGTGGGCTTGGTCGGGAACAACTACGTCCCGCGCCCTTAAATTTGGTACTAAACCTGAAATTTAAATTCGGGGTCTCAGTCAAAAATCTGACAGGACACCCCTCAATTTTTTTTTTGTTTTCTTTGAATTTATAAGACAAAAATGACAGTATCTTCTGGCTTGGGGCCGGGTAGGGCCATGCCCAAGAGTAAGTCCATGCCTGAGATAGGACACCTTTACTTGTCCTGGCCCTCTTGGATCCCGCCTTGGGCTCGGGCCACTCTGGCCTCAGCCGGCTCAACCCATTACACCCTTCCATACATATCTTATAATTTAAAACTCAAAAGATATTTCCAAAATTATGTACATAGTGGACTTGCGGGTCCAAATTGCACATCTAGACCCTCAATACTCACAGCCAAAACACATCGTTAATAGGGACCTATATAACCTAATTTTTCCGCTAATTTGTTTTCATGTGACCAATTTATAAAATTAAATAATAACATTGACAACAAATTTTCCTAGATATGATAATTCATCAAAGGACTATGCATGCCATCCTCTAGACAATTATGTTTTAGGACATCTTTTCGAGTTCCAAATATACGTTCTCCCCAAAAAGGTTATTAAGGTTCTCAAATCATAGTTTTTGGGTCATGCAGTGTTGTTAGGATTTGACTAGCCATTGAGCTAAAGAGGGATTTAGTCCAATCAAAACCGATTTGATAAACGATTAAACTTGTTTTAAAAGATCTTATTAAAAAAAGAAGAAAAAAGAAAAGAAGAGAGAGAGAGAGAGAGTTTGAAGCTTTTTTATTTGAATGTTTAAAGAATAATTTTAAATTTAATTATGTTAAATGTAAAAAACACCCAACTCGGTCTGCCGGTTCAAAACCAGCTTGTTGGGTCTCTTCGATATGCGATACAAAGTCAAAGGCCATGTGATGCAGTAAGACTGCTTGGACACCAGCTCGATGAAAGTGTCTCCAACCTACGGTAGCTGTCACTGCCGACAAGGTTTGAGTTTTGGTGCCCATATTACATTATGCACTTAGTTTTCCATTGACAAAGTCGAGCATCGACATTATAGAAGTGCCCATTTAATTTAGTGTATTAGATGTCTTGTCCGTCTTTCTCTTGGGCGTTTTCACATTTCCAATATTAACTCATGGGAGTTTATTGGTTCATTAAAGCAGTAAGGGGTCGGGTGTCATAAACTTAGGGAAATAAATTATTGGAAAAGTCACATGTCTTCATGCAAGATAGCTTTAATGTATGCAACAAATGCATAAGTTAATCTTAACAAAATAAAAATAAAAATAGGTACACTATTTTTTTATGCGTGAATTTTGTATAAATCGTCAACCTTATACTATTGAGCAAGATGCCCCTCAAAACTATGCCGTAAATGCGCCGTAAAGCCTTGTGATGATATGAAATTATATTGTTGGCCCCAATTATGAAATTTAAAGTTTTAGAAATGGTGAAGATTAAGTAGATCTATGAACACTTGAAAATCCTGAAAATGAACAGTCCAAATAACGTGGTAGAAGATGAACTATTTTTAAGACTAGAAATCCTCTTTTTTCATGTCTATGAATCTTGAGGTCGAGATTATAGATTTGAGGGTTTTCCAACATAAGAACAACCTTTTTTTAGTGGGTTTTTTTAGGTGTACCTTACTCATACAGTATAAAGTTGACACCTTATATAAACTTTTTTTTTTTTATTTTATTGGAGTACAATAAATAGTTGCACTTTTTTTTTATTGGAATAAATATTGTAACGTGCGACTTGTATTGCTGTTATATCTTGCAAGGCGTCGGCAGGATGATTAGATTAAGAAGCCTCGTCTTAGATTCCAATCTAATCTCAAAGATGAGGAAATTCATAATGGCATCATTGGGACATAAAGGGTCAGTTTGAAATATTGTGTCAGAGAATTCAAAAGAAAAATAGAATAGATTACCGTGGTTTTATGTGTAGAGATCCCTAATTATTTGATTTCAATTTTGATTAGGCAGTTGGCAACTAGCGACAATACTTATGACTTGGTAATGTTATATCTTGATTAGATAGTAGGAAATCAGTCAACAGACATATCACATATTACTTATGCATTAATGGTAGATGGTGCACACAGTCTTTAGTTTGGACCACCTCCAACCAAGGTGAAACAATTGTGAATCCCAAGATACATACAAGTTATCTTGTAACAAGTTATCTGGACTGTCTCTCTATATTCAAGATTTTCAAGTGTTTATAGATCTGTTGGATCTTCACCGTTGTTGAAATTTCAAATTTCATCGTTAGGGTTGAAAATAGATTTTCGAGCCATCAAAAAGTTTCTAATACCGGAAGTACATCAACTAGCAAAATTTAGAGGTGCGCCTTGTATGGTAAATGGTGGGCACATTATACAAACGTCACATATATATAAATTGTATTATAATATTTGCTTATCTAGTTGGGTCTGAGTTTGACCCGGACCCTATTGGGTTGGGGCTAACTGACGGGGACCCGGCCCATTTGCCGGCCTAATCAAGTTTTCCCAACATATACAAATGACACTGGAAAATCCATGCCAAATTGAGGCTTCGTTTCTAGAAACCTCCGACTCCCATTTCTTCTCCCTAATAAAGGTCTTCTTAATGCGTTATCTAGATAAAACATGAAAGAGATTTCCAATAAGAAATGGATATCATTTTTTTGGTAACTTCATCGTATAAGTAAACTATCAAATTTCACATTAAATGGTTGTAAGTAATTGTGACTTCCCTGTATCAAAGCTACATAGTCCCATTGTATACAATCCCCTTATATAATAAGCAAAGAGATTTTTACACGAGCCAAATGACCTTCTACTCTCTTTGGAGAATACTATCCATTTATTTCCTTGGGTAAAATGTCACCTAGGATTAATTTTAGGCCCCCAAAATTTAGAGAAAATAACCTCTTGAACATATTAACTTTCAATAAAAAAAACTTTCATTATTACTCCTGCAAAACACTTTTTTAATAAAAAAAACTTTCATTATTACTTCTGCAAAACACTTTTGAAAAGAGTCTAAAAATTGAATAGAAATCATCCAATTTTCAGAAGCTAAGATCTAAGTGTCGAAAAACTGAAATTTCAAATTTTTTCTTTTAAAAATAATCATTTCAAGTGCTCCCAAAATTCAAATTGGAAAAAACCTGCCTAGTAGGTACTTCAACCGAGGGAATAGAAGTAAACTATGCTGCCTTGGGAGCATAGTGTACTTTACGCAAAGCAATTTATAGCAATAGTAGTAAAACTACTTTTCGCCAAGAGGCATGTCTTTGATTAATTTGCATTTTAATTTTCATGTACTAAGTTCTTATGCAATTGTTTGCCTTGAACTATAGTATATCACCTGAAATATGAACTAATAAATCGCTTAAACAATGATTAGCACTATTTCCAGAAAGCGTGTACCCCTTTCATTGGATAATTGAGGACCCAAAATCCACAAATCCATCATTTTGGCGTCCTAAGATTGATCACGAGAAAAAAGGATTTAAAAATCTTAGAAATACTCGATCTTGAATGCCATCTCAAATGTTAGGAAAGAAAAATGCGACACCCTTTCAAATTTTGGATGATTGCTAGTCCAAATCGATCATTTTCACTCCCAAGTTCAAAATATGGAAGAGAAAAAAAACATAAATCGCAAGGCCCTAGAATCGCTTTATCTGAATGGCATCACAACATTTGATTTCAACTGCATTTCCCATGTAACTTAATCGCGAAAGTGTAAATCAATGGAATACAGGCAAAAATTAGAACAGCTATCAATGAATAGTCAGTTGAATGCCACATAGGAGCACACTGTAGCATGCTCCCCATTTTGAAACATCATCAACTGTCGTTTCTTCACTTTATTCCCCATCCCTCCCCAATATCTGCCGTGCATTCAGTAGAGAGATACATGGTGAATGCAAAAGGTGGGCATCACTGCAATATGCCTCACAAGAAGCATACTGTATTTTTCCATAAGAATGGTTCTATTATCCACCAGGCTCCCAGAACCAGATGATCTCAAAAAACGGTGACAATGAGGTCCTCTCACCGTCCATCAACAGGTTGGAGGGTGATGCCGGTGAATTGTAGATTCTCCATCTCCACCATAACCAATCAAAACATCAATTGGACGGATAAACCACATAATCATCGTTATTACGATAATATGGACCACATGTTATATTTTTCCATGAAAAAATAAAAACCAATGACACCACAAGGTTCCACGGTTCAATATGAACAACATCTTTTGTCCAAGGAATCAACGAAAATAACAATAATATTACATACCATCCTATATGATACTCCATGGATGTCCAGGGTCATACACTAGGAATCTCAAAGCTTTACACAGAGCAAAAAGCACTCAAACAAAGGACAATGCATTCTCAACAGGGATCTGAGGATGGAAGATGAAGAAATCACAGGCCTCGAAATGCAATTTTTACATGGCTAAAGAATCATAAAACCGCAAAAAGAATATCAGCTATTCACACACATATTCAGCTCTCGAGGGACTCATCTGAACTGGAAATGGAAATAAACAAGTGAGATGACACATGAAAAGGCTTTCTTGTCACCTGCATCATCTGGTCTGGTAGTCATGTTTTCTGAGAGCTCGTGTGGAAATATATGGCCAATAATCAACATGAAACATCTCCATAGAAAATGCGCATCTCAAATGTAGCTTGGCGAATTTGGGAAGGAAAGCAATCTCCTTGATGTTGGGGCTGGAGGTGCCAAGCCAGGGATGTCTCTTATGTCCTTGTTATGGGGGTTCACAATCTGACATAGAACAGTGCATAATTAGTTCAAATAAATGTGTAAAGACCTCATTAACAAAAAACAACCATTGCTTCTGTTTATCACATAAAAACCAAAAAAAGGCAACATCTGTATTGAGTAGGGAATTTTATTAATATTTAGGTAGAATTTTATGTAATGTATAAACAACTTATATGGAAAGACGCCAAAATTCTCCATCCAATAGTTCAGTTTAGTTCATCATTCTGGAGAAAAGAAAAAATGATGTTTTATTATACAGAGGAAGATACAAGCACAATTCTTGCTCAAAAGGATAACAGAAAAACTAAATTTTCATTCAGCCAAGTCAAAAACAGCTCCAACAAAGTCTACTGACTTGGTGGTGCATGTAATATTACTTTCAAAAGGCTGCTCCAGAAGAATCGAAGATTGGCAACCACTGAAAAAATAACTTCCAGAATAAAAAAAGTTGGGAACATCACCTCACAAATATACAGGGAACTGAAAATTTGAATAAAGAGATAGTGTACAAAGATTGATACTTCAAATAGTATCATAAACTAGGAGTCACAAACAGAAAATGATGACAGCGGAAAAGTCCACTGAGGTATTATAGTAGAAAAGTTTGTTGAGAGCCAGAAACTGCAATTCCCTCCTAAACGGGGTCGACATTCATGGATTGAGGAGGCAAAGAAAATTTGCTCATTGTCCACCCAACATTGTTGGTGACCAAATAAATGGAATGTCAGTATTGCTACTCATGTTTTGGGTTTAACAATCAAGCAGTGGTTGAAAAAATAAAAAGTAAGTGGCTAAATGTGGTCTAATTAAATAAATTATAAGTTATCGATTGTTCACAGTAGTCAAAAACTCGTCCCAGGCTAGAACTCAGCACCTGCCTGAGCTGTGTAATTCGGGTGAGTCTGAGTGGACTCAGCAGAGCTAAAAAGGGATAAAAAATTCCAATATAAAATACAAAAAAGTTGCTAAACGAATAAGTAAAAAGCATACAGAAGTTATAAACAACATTAGAACTTTACAAAAGATGGGGAAAAAAGTATAAAGAAGACATAAAATGGAAAATTGATTTAAAGCTCGAAAAAACTCAGATTTTTTTTTTTAAAAAAAAGCCAAAAATAGAAAAGCACAAATAAGAAAATTTCAGAAATCATCATAAAAGACATAAAAATTATATAGAAACATATATATACATCATTTATTACTGATTTACTAACATACTCACCTAAGCAGAGCAGCCGGGGCCAAGTAACTTGGTCAAGTCCGAGTTGACTTAACCGAGTTCTCAAACATTTACTATGAAACACATTATAAGTTCTACATATGGAACTACAAATATAAGTTGACATGATCAGCTATTGAGTCAACTTGTTCATATATTATGTGTGTGTGGGTGTGCGTGTGAGAGAGAGAGAGAGAGAGAGAGAGAGATGACCTTCACAACAATAATTGCTATCACACCACAGACGATTAAAAATAGGAACATCATGATGCACCGATCAGTGGCCACCTGCACAACAGAAAGGGAAGTTCAATAATAAAAAACAAGAACAGAAAAGGAACTTTGAAAATGAAGGCTATCAGGTTCAATAAACAACCTGCCTACCAATCTCCTTCACCAACTGGGAGGCCTTCTTAATTGAGAACTGGATTGTGTCCAGTTCATTAACGATTCTTCCCATTTGTTCCGTCTGCACATTTTGAAGTCAAAACCAAGCAAAGAGTAACCAAACACTTAGAGCCAGGAGAAACAACTGGTTCTAGTAGTTATCAGGCACTGGCTTGCAAATGAAACGCCTACTCACTTGTCCCTTCAATGTAGCTGCAGTCTGAGCTCCCACTTCAATAGTTTGCTCAACAACCTAGACATATCAATTACAAAGGTCAGAAAATAGGTAACATATTTATTCATTCATAATTAGTAGAAATACCATGTTACTGCATGATGCTTAAAAACGTGAACTTGGTTGATAACATGGTCACTGCCAAAGGTGATTTGGCACATTGAGTCAAGCAGTAAACTAGCCATGAACTTCAAAATTTTGGATGAAAAATGGAAAAACTGTATCAGTTATGAGGATTGGACCCAGCATGTCAGTCAAGTACATCACTGTGCTACCAACCTAGAAGAGAACAATATGTATGTGTGCAGGTATGTCTATCCAACTATCTTTATATATTTACATATGAGGAGAGAGTCAGGCATCCCAAGTTTTTCATTTATACAACGCGCCCAATGGACAAGTTGAGTAGAGTCAAATGAGTTTTTTCAAATCCAAAATGAGATTGTCTACAAAGTAAAAATCTCTTTCATTCGCTCCCAGATGATGATGAATCTAAGACTACCTTTTTTGAGTTTTCAATGCGTTGATCAGTCTCATCCATAGCTTTCGTGCCAGCATTGACAAGTTCCTGATTCGACATTGCTGCAGAAAACACAATGTAATAAGGCTGTAAGCTCTGGGGATTCTTCAGCCAGTTTCATGATTTCCAATAATAAATTTACAAGTCAATGATCAGAAAGACCAAAAAAAAAGATGAAGGAAAATGTACAGAACACAAGCTTATGAACACACTATCATTTTATGAAGAGTTGCCTAAGAAAGCAGAAACTCAACATCAGAATCATGAAGCATCTTTCCTTAACAAGATCAAGAATAATTTAAGATAAGACAATGTTCATTAACCAGATGAAAAAGAGATGAAAAAGATAAGAATGATGCAATTATGCAAATATTCCATTAGTGTCCACCAGTGTTCGCAAAATCAAACTGGAACGGTTAACTGGACATGGGCCTGGAAGCGGTTTAACCGGCCTAACAGGCTTAACCGGTAAACCGGCTGATTCAACCACTCAAACCGGGCAAGTCCTGTGCAGTCAAAAAAGTGTTGAAAAAAAGTAAAAAAAAGACAAAAAAAAATCTACTAAAATATGAAAAGCATAGAAAGAATGATTAAAACAAAACGCATTCAAATGAAGTTGAAAATTCATGAAAAAAATGGATTTTAACCCATTTTATATTTTTCAAGGGCTATTTTTAAAATTTTCAAAAAAAGATGGGAAAATATAAAAGTGAGTATTAATGACCAAAACAATTTTTAATCCTTACCATAATGTAAGAATATTTAAAAAAGCATTACAAATCAAATTCCTTAATTTTGAGAATTTATATACTCTTTTTTTTTTTTTTTAAATATCGGTTGATCACCCTAACCGCCCAAAACCGGAACCGGCCAGTGCCCGGTTCCGATCTAACCGGGTGGTTAGCGATTAGATCGGGTGATTTTGTGAACAATGGTGTCCACAGAACAAGTAAGAGACTGCAACTTACTTGAAGCCATCTGCACATTACTCTCTGCTGCAGGCTCACTACCACCAGCTCCCATATCAAATAGTTCAACTCTTTTATTTCCAAGGCTACTAGTGTACCTACAGTTTCATCAAATGATAAGGAAAGATTGTTAAAGCATACACAGACACCCCCCTACACACAATGTCATAAAAAGTAAAATTTTGCAATTTATCAGGACGAATGGACATTTAAATATTCTAATAACCAGTAAAAAATATGAGAACAGGGACTGAAGAGCCTTCCAATAGCAATAATCCCGCTCATCTTAAACAAATGTTATCCAATATGGCAAACAAAACAAAACACGTCCTCTTTAATAACCATTTGATGCTCCTATAAATACTTGAAACGTTCGGGTTAACCTTGTCATACCATCCTCAAACATTCAATTAATCTGTTCCAGTTTCATTGAATTCAAGCATGTCCTACCCTTTTTCTTTGTGTATATTCTAGTTTCTTTTGTCTTTTTACCCCTATTTTCATATTCTATGGATTCCGCAATATACTGGTGGTGATACAGCATCATGAAGACAAAACGATGTATTGTTATATGAACTGTGATACTCAACAGACGAAAGGATTGCTAGATACCAGAGATCACATCCATGGTCTCTCCTAGTGAACCAAGTGGCACACTACTGGCTGTTTCCTTATTCCCAGAATATACACCCAGATTGGATAAGCCCAATAAGCAACAAAGTCAAACTAGAGCAGCAAATCCCTATTAAATATCTCAGCAAGAAAACAAGCTGCAGTTCATACACTATGGTATCAAAGAGATTTGAAACTGTTTGCAAAAGATTGAACCACTAAATTGCTATAAACCAAAGAGAATCCAGATAGCTAGAATTTAAAAAGTAAGGACAATCAAACATACGTTTTCCGTAGTGCCACATATGAATTCAGCTCTTTGATCTGCAGCAGCAAAATATGATATGTCAAACATGGGATGACAAAAAGGAAAATAACCAAATTTTTATTATTAATGCATTGAAAATATAAACCAGAAGTAGGAGAGCTGACCAGCGACTGTTTCTTTTCATTGAGTTGCTTGTTGACATCTGGAGGATTTCCACTTTCTTCCTCTTTAATTTCACGGTCAAATTCTTTGATCAGCCTGCAAAACACAAGAATCGCATGTAATATACTTCATACTTTCTTTCTTTTTTCCAGTAATCATGGAACAGTTCATTATTTGCTATAATATTTTAGAGCCCTGCTCAACAAAAAAAAATGTACAAGAAGTACTGTACAAGCAAATTGTGCATAACGAAACAGTGACGTAATTCGGTAACAAAATTACTTTCAGAATCAAATCAATCTTTCATAGATAATTTTCACAGTGAACTTGTAGCATTAAAGGAAAAATGAAAAGTGTTCACCCTCGGTGTATAAAAAGTTGCATTTGTTGTACAGAGATAATTACATGAGATAGCTCATAACTTCATAGATATAATAAAATCTTAAATAAAAAACCAAATGTCATGAATGTGGAAGACCATAAGTTTTCCTCTATTTTTTCCCTTTCTCCCTAATAAATAATGCGCAGACCCATAAGTTATTTGCTGCCATACCGCTTACACTCTCTCATCTTTCCCGTCAGTTCTTCTAATTGCTTGCTCTGTCGATTTGGGTCCTTGATCTTATCCAACTTCTGAAAGCCATTCCTGCACATGAACAAAGCATTCATATTGCCAACCTGCCTTGACAAAGTAATAATCTTTCAAGCCAAAAACCATAATTTGCAAATAGTAAAAGGCACATTAATTTGTCACTACAAATGAATCAACACCAAGAAACACCCAATCGATCCCTCCTTATGATTCATGGCAATGCTAAATTCGATTTCGAAACCACATCTTTACATATTTGCCAAATGGGGAGTGCAGACGTAGTGACTATATCTATTACAATGGGAAAATACACTCCTAATTCAGAAATTAATTAGCAATTTCAAACTTGTCAAACTGGGCATTTTTAGTTCAAATTTCAAAGCTCACTGAATGTGCATCTCTGTGCGCAATCACAAGGCTACAAAGAAATCCAGAAAATTCATAAAAATCCTAAACCAGCCTCATGATTCGGAGCAATAGCAAACAAACCTACAATGTTACTTTGCATGCTATAAATATGATGATATAAATTGTCAAAAGTCCACCATTTCAAGGCGGGTAACCTCATAAACATCTCAATTTGTTAACAAATTAGTGCCAGCATAAATAGAATATTTTCGCCATGATAAATATTAATGACTCCCTCGAATATAAGCCTTTTATTGTCAACTGCAAGTTCCAAGGATACAGTGTCACCCTCCAAATCCATACAATTCGAAACAAAAACAAATCTAATTAGGATCGCATACTAAGCATAGATCAGTGTTAACGCTTTCAATGCTTTGTTCACATCATCAAACCCATTAACAAAAGGAAGCAGATAGAATATCAAACAGGAAGAACCAGAGGTAAAAAGGGCACCATATATGAATTAACCAATTGCACAAGTTACAATAAAGACCATATATCAATTAAATACTTACACGAGCCACAAATGCACAAATATGATTCTGGATCAGAAATAAACTTCCTCCTTGAAAAGAATTCATCAATCCAACTTTCATAAACCCAAATCTAATCAAAATTACATACATTTATCGCCAGAAGAACCCTAAAAAGATCCATTTTTTAATTCAAGCAGATTACAAGAAACAAAAATAAGAAAGAAAAACTGACAAAGAAAATCAACCGTAGAGATGAAGAACAAGAAGAAATTAGACTTTAGACTTACGCAAGAGTGCGAAAATGATCTCGCAACTCTCCATCGATCTGTTCTAGCTGACCAGTGAGCTTCAAATCGTAGGCCATGGCTTCTCCTCCTAAAATTTCACACGATCCAAAAACCTCCGCAGAGAAGCCTTATCAAATCAAATTCAAATTGAAATCTTGCTTCTCCATTAGGGAAAATAGAAGGAAAATATAAACTCTGACCAGAGATTCAATAGACGAGAAAGAATATGAATCCCGAACCCTAGTGAAAGAGCCCTAAGAATTCAAAATTAGGGCCAAGGTAACAACGATTTGAACGCGCATTGAAAGAGGAAGAAAAAAATTAGGGTTTTTTGAAAAACAGGGAACGGAGAGGGAATCGGAGAAGAAACGAAAAAGGGTGTACATTGCTGCGTGCCCCAATCATTCTTTGGGAATAAATGACTAAACTACCCTTTATCTTTTATCGGATTGACAAACGATAGAAGTGTGTTTTTTTTTTTAATGATCATACCCGTGTTCGCAAAATTGAATTGGAACGGTTAGCAGGACATAGGCTCAAAAGCGGTTTAGCCGGTCTAACTTGTAAATCGGCCGATTCAATCGTTTTAGTCGGGCAAGTTTCGGATGGAAAAAAAAATGTTGAAAAAGTAAAAAAGGTATAATAAAAAACTACTAAAATATAAAAAACATATAAAAAATGATTAAAATAAAATACATTCAAATGAAGTTGAAAATTAATAAAAAAAATAAAAGATTTTAACAACCGATTTGTGTCTAGCGGTATTTTTAAAATTTTATGAAAAAGATGGAAAAATAAAAAAGTGAGTATTAATTATCACAACAATTTTTAATCTTTAGCATAATGTAAAGAATATTTAAAAATATATAAAACCAATTTTTTTATTTTTGAGAATTTATATACATTTTTATGATTGTTTTTGTAAGGGAAAAGTTTATATAGAGCCTAGGCTCTAAACAATTTATATCAAAAATTTCACTAGAAGAGGTTGTTTTGATCCCCAAATATATTCAAATCGATCATCTCGACATCAAGATACATGGACATGAGAAAAAAAATAGATTTCAAGTTTTGAAAATAGTGTATTTTGTAACAAGTTTTTTGACCGTCAATTTTTAAGATTTTCAAGTTTTCATATATCTGTCGATCTATACAATTTTTTAAGATTTAAACTTTATAAATAAATATGAAAATATATTTTAAGGCTATTACAAATATTTCTAATATTAAAACCACATTTCCCCATATTATTTGAAGGTAGGTTCTAATTTGATTGTTTAGATCATGGGCTCTATACAAACCGCACCTTTTTTTAAAATACTAGTCGATCACCAAAATAGCTCATAACCGGAACCGACGAGTGGCCGATTCCGATCTAATCGGGTGATTAGCGGTTAGATCGCCCGATTATACCCCTCTTTCACAAAAGGTCCATAGCTTAAATACTTCTTGTTAAATGCCCGAGGGTCAGGTAAGTTGGGTTTATTTTCAAAATTTTGAGTTTTCATAAATTTTTTCTTGAAATGAAATTATTTATTTATTTATGATTTGGGATTTCCTATTGGTGATTTCTTTCGCTTGGCTCACTCTTTCAAGAAGTCGGTGATATGATAAAACAGCTTCGTGAATCGGTTATAAGATAAAAATTTATATATTATGAGGAACTATTTAGAGTTTATCACCCCTCTTTCAATTGTGAACTACATTCACTACTCAAAAGGGCAAAAAAAAAAAAAAAAAAACTAAATTAACTGAATAAGTCCAAGCTCATTTGAAATTGGTCCTAGTTTAGCAAAATTTAGGCTAAATTTAGATTTTGGACAACGGTAGAATTGGATCAATAAGATTATGTTAGCTTGACCTTTATTGTCCAATTTAAATATCAATTACAAATTTAATTTGGTTCCGTTTTTTAAGCAGTAGCTCAAAATCCCATTGAAAATGCAATTCTAGTACCAAAACCCTTACGATAGTTTGCAAATTTATATTTGCCTTAATAAAATTTTAAGCTTAAAAAATGATGCAAATTTAGTTCCAAACACTCAAAATGGACAATATAGAGAATGTGTTGCAAGATGGGTTAGTTGTGAGGATTAAATCCATATTTTTCTGATCCATGATTATAGAGGTTGAGAAAATCAATTCGCACATTCGAGAAAACAAGTTACAAAATGAACCATTTCTATTATATGAATTTTAATTTTTTTAGAATTCATGATTATCTAGGTCGAGATTATCTATTTGCAATTTTTTTTCATAAGGAATGCTTATTTTGGTAAAGTTTGAAACGGCCCAATCAACTACAAGATCGGTGAGTTCACATTATTTAAAATGATAATTTTCATCCATATCTATCCTTCATTATGGTTGGTGCAGGTCACATATCGATTAGCTTACATCAAACTCTCAAACTTAAATATGAGTTTGTCAGAGTAATTATTTATCTTTCGCAAAATGGCCCAACATTTGAAATCGAGACAAATTATTTGGTCCCCAAATTTCATAAAACTTAAACTATGTAAAATGTTTTAAAACACGGATCACTTGGGTGCATCGCCTGCCCACCGATTCCGGTCGTGATTCTGAAAAAGAAAAGACTAACGACAAAAAAGAAAAAATTGCATCACCCCTCTTTCACATTCCTCCTTGCTGATTTAAGAAGTAACTAATAAAATTAAAAAAGGTTTCCCTAAATGAGAGAAGTTTTTCCAAAATTTTCACATATAAAGGGTTGAATTGCAAAATTCCTACCAGAAGTCGGGACGGGGCGCCATTGAATTTCAATTAAAGTAACTGATTCCCGATCCAAATTGCATGACTGAAACCAGTGGTTATGCATGAAAATGAGGGCGGGGCCTCTTGGTATTTCCATTATTTTTTTGTGCAATCTACAAGTTCTCTTTGACCAACCAACCACCAACGATCCTTGGATGGAAAACTTGGTGACTACACCGATTCAAAATTTGCTAAAGGGCAATCATACTATGGAGCATACTGCGTGTCTACTCGCTTAGTAAAAAGATTTATACGAGAAGAATTTTTTCAATCTGAAAATTTAAAAAACCACCTAAGAACCAATTACTTTCAAAAGAAAATTTTATTTTTTTTAATTGGTTTTTTTAGCACTTAGGTCTCGCGCATCAAAAATTAAAAAATCGAACAATCTCCATTCAGTCTTGAGACATTATTATTATCGTACATAAGACAATTAAATTCAGAATTTTTTTCTTTTACTAAGGTTAGCCTATGGTTTGAAGAAGTTAGATCTCCAAAATTTAGAATCCTAAAATTGCTTCTATGTAGGGTTTTGCCCGAGGGGGTAAAAAGACAGAGTACTCCTGCACGAGTATAAAAATCTATTGGCTTTGCTAAAATGAGCATCAATATCACCTTAATTGCCAAGAGTCAGTTTTTTATACACAAAATGAATAAAAAAAGCTTTTGTTTAGATGGTGGTGGGTAGAATCATTGAAAATGAGTTGTCAAGGGAGGGGGCACTGGCACCACTACCAACCAAGGTGGGTTCAAAAGGAGCATCCTCCCCAGCATTATTTTAACGTTTTCTCTCACTGTACCAACTCTATTCTTTCTTCAAGGATAAGATATATCGAGAGATAATCATTTTTGTCACTGTTCACCATGAGAGACCACCAATATAAGAGTCCTTTTCACATTGTGGAGAGCATCCCTCAAACTTAACTGTGAGTGAGAGAGAGAGCGTGTGTCAAAGCCGAGTTCATGGAACTTTCAGGTGCCTAGAACTCCTTCAATATTTCAGCCGGTAATCAAACACTTTCAGGTACCTAGAACTTCTTCAATTTTTCTACCGGTAATTAACCACAGGTACCCCAAACTTCTTTAACATTTCAATAGGTTATAAAACCCATGTAAATAACATTCCATTTATTTGGTACTCGGATATTCTTTAAATCTTCCCAAAAAAAACATTATATTTTCCAACAAATGTAAACTTTCCAGAAGATAGAAGATAGCATTCAACTTCTTTAGTACTCATATTCTTTAAACCTTCCAGAAAGGAAGGTTCCACTACCCAACAAATGTAAACCTTCCAGAAGATGATATTATGACTCATTTGGTACTCAAAAATTCTTTAAACCTTTCATAAAACATTACGCTTCCCCAGCAAATAAGAAACTTCTTTTTTTTTTCAAGAAACAGCATCCTAAGAGAGACTATTTAGCAATCTTAGGTTGCCGCACCCCCCGCCCCCTAAAAAAAGTGTTTTTTTTTTTAGAGAACATTTTTCTTTGAAGTGATTGAAAACTTCAGGATGCAAATCAACAATGGCTAATCTAGATCAGGATTGCTGGCGGATGATCTGGGCCCTTTCGCTTCGAATTTGTATTCTAGTATTATTTTTTCACTATTTTTTGCCTTTTCTTATTAGTCCGGTTGAGTGCCGATCCACCCAAACTATACAAAATTTAAAACAACGTCAACTTTCAAGTTACAATATTGTAAGCCTCACATTAAACCCGGATTCCTCTTTGAGAGCGAGAAAAATAGTCGTGGGACCCAAGTTTCCTCACGGAATTACAACTTTCAACTCGCAAATACCGTGGACTTTAAAGCTAGCAAACAAAATAGCCATCTCAGTTCTTTATGTAGACCTCCAAGTTGATTATCTATGAGAACACAATTTTCCCAACTTCATTAGGTGCTTTTGATCCCCCAAACGCAACCAGTGCCAGTTTTGTTCCCTTTGAAGAATTCCATGTTTATTTGCCCTTCCTAGTCCCACTCTATACGTAAAAATGGCCCAAGATTATATTCTCTCTTAACATCCCTTTTAGTTTAGGGGTACGTGGATGACAGTTTGAAGATCGATTTTCATCATTAATTATAAAATTTAAAGTTTCAAGAATCATACACATGGAGCATTTCTATAACCATTCTAAAATCTTAAAAATGGATGATCAAGATAACTTATTACCTATATGTATAATTTTTAGAATTTAAAATTCCTTTGTTTCATATCAATACATCTCAAAATCGAGATGATCAATGAGGGAGTTTTCCAATATCAAAACGCTCTTCCGGAAGATTCATGAGATGTACCATACCTTTAGAATATAAGATTGACACCTTATATAAACTTTTTCTTACATAGAATAGTTACGGTTTTAACTTTTAACACTACACAATAATGACACATCGGACGCCCCCCTATTTTAAATTAAAACTCTTATCCTTGTTGACACTTGACAAAAGGATTACAACTGATTATTACTTGAAGTGAAAAGTTTATGCACCTCAAAAATATATCGGAAATGTTCTTTTAATATTGAAAAACGCTCTAATTGATCATCTTGATATCAAGATGCATGAATATGAAAAAAAAAAAATTTTTGAATCCCAAAAATAATACACCTTGCAACACATCATCTAGACCGTTTATTTCAAGATTTTCACACGCGTATAAATCTACTTGATTTTAACTATTTTTGGAATTTAAAATTTTCTAATTTGATATGAAAATAGATTTTAAGATAATTCTAAGAATTTTTTACAACAAAATTATGATAAAATTTAGAGGTGGGCCTTAATTGGATTGTTTAAGGTTGCAACGTTATAGAAACTGTAACCGTACTTTGAAAATCTCTAAGTCATTTAAAAGATCAATGGATTGTTACAGTCAAATGATATAGAATACAAACCTCCCCATCAAAAAAAATTTCTCCATCTCAAGTTAGAAGTGAAGATGTAATGGCCCCATCCCCACTGATCACTCACTCAATGGACGGTGGAGATGAGCTGTTATGCTTCAATGAACTAAAGTGGACATAATAGGTAAGCACTTATCTCCACCACCTCTTATTGAGTATATATGGGGTACAACGCTATACTTTCCCCTTCACCAAACTTGGATGTAGAGTTCATTCAGGAAAGCATGGGCATCTCCAACTGAAATGGTAGTATCGCGAACTCCAGAGGCAAAAATTGTAGTGTAAAACAAACTCTAGAATATTAAAAAGGAACCCATTTATGGAGCAAAAAGAATGGCGGACCAAGATTCATGTAGCCGACCCCAAATTGTTTGGGAAAAGGCTTCGATGATGATATGCAGCAAAAACAGGTAAATCCATTTATGCAACAATCACTCAAACAACAGGAAAACATAATTCGCAAGAGCAACGCCTATTTTTGGCAGGGTTTACAAATAAATACTTTACAGGAGATACACCAAAAGATTGCTAGCCACTTCCCTGATGACTCCATGAAAAACATAAGGAAAAGAAAAAAAAAGGGGGGCCGGGGTGGGGAACCAACATTGACGGTGATCTTCATGATCTAGGATCTGGTTTCTGAAACAATAAACTAGCTAAATATTTTCCATTTTCAGTCTCTTGTTTGTTCTCTGCGTCCTTGCAACTTCATGCATTTATTGGTCACAGTATTGCAAAGTGCAAGTGATTATCAATAAATTTGTAATCCAAGATAGATGAATTCATTACCATAACTGTTTAGATCAAAGAACTGAATATAAACTAGGTTTGAACAACCTGGAACATGAAAGTTACAAAAAAGATTGCAACTAAGAACCTTGTACTTCATCTACCCCCAAAAAAGGAAGCTTGTATTTCTCTCTAAAGATGATTTAATGATGAGAACAAGTCAAATGTACTACCCAGTAATCATGTAAATCAGTGGGCCGTGCAAACCACACAGCCTACAGAAATGTACCTCTTCTTAGTATTGTTCCATTCTGTATTTTTTCCCTTGGAATTTGTATTTTTGCATTCTGTCCTGCTCTAAACAATATTTTCCTATTTTTTAATTTGAAACATTGATTAAACAGGATTTTTATTAGCTGAGGCTTTACATTTAGACCTGCTTGTACAAGATTACGCTTCAAGGCTGAAGCTAGAATACTTCATAACTTGAGAACTCTTATGCAGGAAGATTACATTTGAGCTCATGTAATCAATGGAAGTGAGTCTATATAATAAGATATTTCGCAAAAACTTTTCAAGACCTTAAGTTCTGTAAATACAGAAATCATCTTAAATTCTCACCTGGGAAGCATCTCGCAAAGCACCAAGATAAGCTCTTCATGAATTTAAGTATGTAAAGAGTACATTTTACGTGCTTAAAATGTTGAAAGTTTTTTCTGTTTCTACATGATTCCAAGATAAGCTCTTCACACAACTAAGCAAAAAGCTCTTCAATATTTTAAGCATATCAAGATTACAATCAGGATTATCTTGGATAAAATGCACAGAGAACTGAAGACTATTAGCAACCACATAGGCATAATAATTTTCTTTAATAAGGAAGCTAATAGGATGACAAGTCAACTTTCAGAATGTAAAATCAATTTTTCTTGGGATCAAATAATGGAGCACTTCTATTTGTCATAGTCATCCAAATGACCAAATCAGTAAATCATAGTAAAACAACAAAATGATACAAGTAGTGAACTTTGAGAAACAAAAACTTACCAGTACCAGATAAGGAATCAAGCTTCAAAGGCACCATCCATGTCTTTCAAGGTTCTTAACTAGACAAGTACAGTGCTGCACTAAACAATGGTAGACAAATGTTGAACACGGGAAAACCACAGAAAACAAATCATCAAATTTTTGGACTTTCATCATTAGTAACTCTCTGATTGATATTGCTCTCTGTTGCAAAAGCAATTATTACTTCTAAACTTTTTCAAAACACCCAAGTCCAAGATGATAAGTATTCCTACCAATAAATAAGGCGTGATATAAAACAAATGGATGTTGATTGAAAGAATCACTGAGGCACATAGTTTAATTTGCATTTAAACATCCATCAAGAGACCTTCTTACGTTTCCTTCTTTTAGCACTTCTTGAACAAGGAGCAGGTAACCTTTTTGAACAAGGAGCAAGTAACGACTGACCATTAGGTGGTTTAGCAGCAACTGTTCTGCTTCTCTTGCAAACCCACTTCACAGGTAAAGTACCAACTAAACTTCCAATACCATTGGAACTGTCTAACTCAACTAGGCCTTGAATTTTTTCATGAAGTTGGGTACACCATGCCATCGACTGGTCAAGTTCAAATGAATCATCTTGGGGTTTTTTCCATAAAGTATTTAAAATTTGACGAAAAGATTGAAACGACATAGGCAGCTCATTCTTGCTACTATTGCGACAAACCATATTGACCTTGATAACATGCTTACAAAGGTTTCCCTTCATTGACCATTCACAGTCACACAGAGCAAATTCAGATCCTGGGTTCCACACTACATGCGACCGAGTGCTATCTTTTTGGCTTACAACTTTTGCAAAAAGGTGGTCTTTCTCATCAAAATTGACAGCATTATCAGGAATTAGCAGTGCCCTATGCCACGATGTGGATAGCATGTACTCCTCTTTAACAGTCTGAAAAAGGCCACTATCATCAGCATATCGATCGAGCCAATAGATGGAGTGTAATTCAGTTGTTAATATGTGTACCAACCAATCAACACGTTGGAGAGCACCAAGTTGGGAGTCATCAAAGAGCTTGAGCTTCAACCTCATATGGTATCCTTCGATGACACCACAAGCTTCTTGGCTAGCTAAGGGAAGGCTTTTCATGGCAGCAAGCCACATTTCTAGCATAAATAAGTGCATCCAGATGTTAGTAAGCGCTACATTCAATCCACAAAAGGATAATAAGAAAGAAAGTGAACTTTTCTAACCTATTTTGGGCACCCAACAAGCTTTGAAATACTTCATGAAGGCAGTTTGGTCAACAAAATCTTGAACAAACTCTTCCATGGCATCAACAGAATCAGCACCACTCCAAACACTATACATAATTTGACCAAGACGCTTAAACATCTCTCTTTGAACTTCGATATTACAGCACTTTTTGATGATATTTCTATGCCATGCCCGACGAACACGCCAAGCACAAAACAGGACGGGACAGCAAAATACATCCCTGAGAATATTGATAATGGTTATCTGTCAGTATGGATCATATTGTAAACGCAAAATAGGATTTTGTTTCATAAATAAAAAAAGAATTCTTACCTAATGGGATCAATCTCAGCAGCTGCATCATCAATTACAAACCCAGAAATCTTCCAACTAGAATCCATGGAATGAATTCTATCATAAAGAGCTCTCATCCACTTGTAAACATCATGCTTTGAAAAACTGCGGGTTATTACCCATGCCACAGGGAGCCCATGTTGGTTTGAGTCAAACACAAGGAGTGTATAAAGAGGATACTGCAAGTGCATACATAAATCAATATAATACCCATCCTTTCCAACAGTATATTTGGAAAACCTCAAGTACATGGCATAAAATTCTCACCAGTTTTTTTCACTTGCTAGCATGGAAATCATGAGATTCATACCTTTAGTTTACTTATACCAAATATCGAGTCAGCTGCCAAAAGACCCTGATGACCAAAACGAATCATTTGCTGAAGCTGCCACTCAGTTTGAATTCCCAATACGAAGGAATCCGTGTCTGAAGAATCTTGATAAAAGAAAACTGATTTCTTGTTACGGTCAACCCATAAGCGAATGCTAGATTGATCATCTCGATCCAGTTCATGTGTGGTTCGTTTAATGATCATCTCTAGCTTTTGAACATACTGAGATGCAAAACTCTTCACTTCCTTATTACTACCACAATATCTTGCCACCCCTTCAATGTGTTTCTCCAATATGTTCTCCTCCGGAATACCCAAATAAATCATGGACATAGTTTGTTGCTGAGTCTCATTACAAATGTAAGGAACTGTCTTCGCTCGAGGCCCAATAGCATCCCCATCAAGAGGCCCATGGCAAATGAAGCCAGACTTGTTAACATGACTGCGTTGGTTGTATATAATAAGAGCAACTGATGGGCGTGCATATAGGCGCTTCACTACAAAATTGCAGGTACAACCACGCATAGATTGCGGCCTAGCTGCCCTATTCCTCGTATTAAGCCTATACCTTCGGCTTGGCAAAATACCACCACCCTCCCCATAATTCTCGGGACCAAATGAACACCAATACCTTGAATCATCAACAACAGAGCAGCCACTCTAGTGAATACGTATGCAATTTACAAAGTTGAAATCAATAATGCATATCAAAAAAATAAAACTCTCTCTCTTTCACGAAGCAAACAAAGAAGACTCAACAGAGTATAAGTTTTACAAGATTGGGTTTTACAAACTCACAGTCTATACTCAAGATACTCATCGCTTTGGTAACTCTTCAAGCTTCCTTTTGGTCTTTTCCTTCCTCTCTCAATGTGAAATCTTGTGGGGCACTCAACTTTCGAGCATTCTCCTTTTATAAACTCTTCGACCCGTTTGTATGGAATCAGGGCAACATCATCAGTTTGGTCCTTATCCTTTTGGATCTTGCTCCAAGTAATGTCAGCCGAAGAGAACTCCTCATTAGGAGGATTTTGCACAACGAGATCTAGAATTGAATCCACCGTCTCCATTCAGTGTTTCAATGCTTTCAACCCCACGGCATAATGGCAAAATTCTGAGCTTCCAAGGTACCAAATAGATTAACGGCATGAAAATAACTGCATACTTACAAAATACAGAAGGAAAAAACTGAACAAAATAAGGAAAAAGAAACGGCCATGGAGGCAGCTATAACCATAACCTTTTCTAATTTTGCAAATGTTCGAAGTGAATGGCAGCAAAGATGCAGCACCCATTTCCACACAACGTTATACAACATAGCATATCATTTTATACAGTTGTTGTCAAAGCAAAAAAATAAGATGTTTGGAAAGCTCACGAGAGAGCTAATAATATATATATAAAAAAAATGATAACTCATTGAGCAGCAAATATGTTCAATATGGTTTCTCTCTCAGAAGTGCAACTCACACGGATTGTTGAATACGATCACGAGCAACCTGAATTTCGTAAGGTTTATGGTCAAGATGAGCTTCAATTCAGCAGCAAATTTTCCTTAAAATTTGATGGATACTTGACTCAATTATACACTATCTTTAAACACAAACAGTCCCTACTTCATAAAACCAAGCTAAGCAGCATAAGTTAAGAGAACAAACGCATTAGAAAAAATAAACCAAAAAAAAAAGAAGTAACAGAGATGAAATAACAGAAACAACGCAATACAAGTGAATGAAATTAATTGAAGAAAAAGGAAAATTCAACAATATAAATTGTATAATCTTTACTGCTAACTTTTTGTGCAACTAACCCAAAACCCTAATAGAACTCTCAATACAACTTCTATATCATCACATTATTACTTCAATTCAACAACACCACAATTTAAACAGAAACAACTAAAGCAACAAAAACAGAAGTAGCAAAAACAGTACAAGATAGAAGTAGAAGAAATGGTAGTTACCCTATCAGAAGCCATTATTTCCATTAAAGCCTGAAAACTTTCCCCCTCCATTTTTTTTTGAGTAAAAAGGAGAACTGAAACCCTAACGAAGAGGCTGACACCCCTGCACTCAAAACCAGACATATATATGGCTGAGAAGTGATGCGAGGGTTTTGAGCAAAAATTACGGACATATTGTCATTTCCATATTGATTAGGCAATTCGCTCATATGTGACATGCTCCCTCAGGGAGCCTATTGTGTATTTGCTCTGACAGGGGACAAAAAATTATAAAAGAAAAATAAAAAGTTTGTATAAGAAATTAGCTTTATTTTCGCTCTCGTAAATGAAGGTGTGGTTTGTACAAGGTTGCAACCTTACACAATCAAAGTAAATAAGGTGTACATCCAAATTTTGCCATGAGATGTAATTTTAGAGTAAAAAATATTAGGATTGTGAGAGAATCTATTTTTATATCTAATTATAAGTTTTCTAAATGATTCAAATCAAGCAGATTTATAAATGCATGAAAATTTTGAAAATAAACTATCTGGAAATGAGTTGCAAAATGTACTATTTTTAAGACTTGAAATCTCTTTTTTTTCTCTATATCTATACAAATCCCAGCTAACTTGGCGGGAAAAAAATAAAATAGTGCACGATAATGAGGGCTCCAATTCCCTTATAAACCCTAGCTACCTTGGCAAAAAGAAAATAAAAAGAACCGGACGATGAGGGCTAACTTTGAAGGGTACGGTTTACATAAGGTTGAGGCCCTAAATAATCAAAGTAAGGTGTACCTTTAAGCAGTGTCAAAAGATGACTTTTTCTATAGCAAAAATCTTTTTGAGGACCTGAAAAATTATTTTCATCTCCAATTATAAAGTTCAAAGCTTCAAAAATAATATAGATTGAGCAAATCTATAAATACTTGAAAATATTGAAAACTGATGGCCCAAATACTGCATTACAAGATGCACTATTTCCCATGCTTAAAATCTATATGTTTTTTCATATCTATACATATTGAGGTTGAGATGATCGATTTTGGGGTTTTTTGACATCGAAACAACATCTTTTAGGGAATTTTTGAGATGCACCTTAATTTAATTATGTAGAGCGTCAACCTTATATACACTTATTTCAACTTTAAATGCTTAAAAAATGAACCCTTTCTTGTCATTGTCGTTCTATGAAAACGAGGGCCCCTTTTTCTTTTTTGCCATGTACAAGCTCCTCAAATGAGAGAGCATGGATGCACTATAAAACTAGATGACACATCCACTTCATAAGAGGACACAACTGGTTGAAATATTTTTTTGAAAGTTTGAATCTTGTTTAAATTTTAAAGTCAATTAGATAGGAATTCTTGAAAAAATGGGAATGTTATTTTATTTTTTAGGTAGATGAATGAGAAAATGGTTTCAATGAAACTCAAGATATCATGTTGTGGCATCCATCATGAGAGTAGCTATATTTGAAGTCCAAATATAAAAGATCAAAAAAAGCGGTATGTCCCATATATCCTTTCTTCATCACAATGGTTATATTGAGAAGACCATTGGCCTTTGGTGCATAAAGGTCACCAGCACTCACTGCCATCAGACACAAAATCAAAAGGTAGGGATGCCATAGAGTCATTGACTGCCTTTAGAGTTTTGAAAAGCTATTATCCTTTCAAAGACAAGCGGTTTTATATATTTCATATTATTGGACTCACTCCTCTCAATAAACATTCAAACCAAACATCCAGAGAGACTGAGAGAGAAAAGTAACATTATTGCTCCTTTTAGTCACCTTGATTCCTGAGGTTCTCCTTTTTGGTGTGTGTGTTTGGCAGTGGACCACGCTCTATTCAGGCTCAACATGCACAGGCATTAATCACAAAAGTTGTAACCATAAGCCAATAAAAATGAGGAAAAATTAATGAAAACCCCCTTAACTCAATTCTCTATACATTCTCCCGCCACCTACTTTTTGAATCACAATTTTTACCTCAAAACTAGCTTTTATAGTAAAGATTTTCAAGTCAAAAGTCACAGATGTAATGACGAAATTGCCCTTTTGAATCACCAAAGACAGTGCAGCACATATTCTTGCTGGACCAGAAACCAAATCATACGACACCAGTCCGTCACAAAACCAATGCCGAACCGGTAATGACCCAATAAGAAAACATATCGGACCAGCATACGAACATGTCGAACGCGGTTCTGGTCTGACATTAAGAATTGCGGAACCAATCGCAAACAATGCCGGACCGCTATTTCAATCGCCGGACTGAATGTATTGCACATCAAATTGCCAGACCGCTATTTCAGTTGCTGGACCAAATGCATTGCACTTCAAATTGCCGGACCGTATTAGCAAATTGCTGGACCAGAGAGTGAATCCAAAAGAAACATTGACGGACGGCAACTAAGAACTGCCAAACCGAAATAAAAAACTGGTGAACTGCGGCATTATTTGCTGGACCGAAGAGGACGAGGGGCCTAGGCCATACGAAAGAGAAAGGGTATTTGGCTTTCATTTGAGCTTACTTTTTTTTACTGGGGTTTAGTGAGTGATCTATAAAGTAGTTGGGGGGAAATTATCTAGGAAGTTACATCTTGGGGGTATATGTAATTTTCCTAAAATAATAACACCCAAGCCAAAAATAATCTCTCTCCCTCTCTCATACATACAGAGAGGCATGCATTATGCAATGATGGATGTCTCATTCTTCTTTTTTATTGTTGATGCATGTGTCTTCATAAATACACTTCACGACTGTTATACCTCGTAAGGCTGTTACAATTCCCTAAAATAATAACACCCAAGCCAAAAATAATTTCTCTCCCTCTCTCATACATACAGAGAGGCATGCATTATGCAATGATGGATGTCTCATTCTTCTTTTTTATTGTTGATGCATGTGTCTTCATAAATACACTTCACGACTGTTATACCTCGTAAGGCTGTTACAATTCAAGTTTGTTTCTTCATTTATCATACACTTTGAACAAATTATTTAGTCTGGGTTACTCATGCCTAAATAGCTTTGCTTATGCCTTTGCACCTAATTCGACTGAATCAACAGGTTCTTCCACTGTTACCTTTGCAAGAGGCATTGGTTTCACACATGGGATAAATTATACAGTGTTTGTACAAGATGACGTTTGGTTCCTACGTAAATATTTTTCAAGAAAAAATATTTTCATATATGTAGGAAAAACTTTTACAAACTTTCTTTTTACCATATTTGTTAACTGTTAACACGTTTAAAAAGCATTGTGTAATGAAATACTTATGTTTGGTATAAGAAGCATAAATAATAACTATGCTTGGTATGATATAACCAGAAATTATGTAATACATCTATTTACCTTTGGTATAAGAAGTGGAGCTCACCCTAACTATCATATGCGAAATTGGGTGGCTATGATATGCTGTTGACTATGCTCCAAGTCCAAAACCTTAATGCCTCACAACCATGAAGTTATCACCATCCCATCAATAGGTTGAATGGTGAAGGAGGGGAGTAGGTCTCATGGTAAATGGAGAATATGTCATGTCTTATTTGTCTATCATCATCCAACCAATTCATTAGATGATGATGATTTGCATGACCATTGTTTGTTGTTATTTCTCTTTTCGGATATATCAGCCAGGAAGGAGTCCCTTACCCTTGATATATCATATTGTGGTACTCCACTACCCTGACCTCCTATGCTTTGAATCCATATTAAAAATGTTGTCAACAACAAAAGGATCACCGTATTGGTACAAAACCATCATGGGTGACATTTTTAGAAATTAGGTTGTTTACGACGTATGTCCAAGAAAAAACGATAAGATATGCACATCTTTTTCTTTCTTTTTTTAGAAACGTTGATATTGAGAATGGAGAGTGAACGTTATCTTGAGGCATCAGTCCCTACATACCGATGCCCCTGTATCCAAATTTTTTTTTATTTGCCATAGAAATAGCCAAAAAAAAAAAAACCATATGGTATTTTTTGCCCATACATCTTGTACATCGCTCAAGAGGGACCATCCCAGTGGGATTTTTTATTAAAAAAATTGAGGATGATCTTAAAATAAACGGTTTAAAGAAAAACGATTTTACGTCTAACCCAAACCTAACAATGCAAAAAAAAAAAAAGTGCTAGTGTTAATTCAATTTTCTCTCTCATTTGAAACATATTATTTAGGTTTTTCTAAATTATTTTTATAGCCGTGTTTACCAGGGTCAAGAGGATGCTTGTGCAAAACATAGAAAAAATCCTATAATTTAGTTATTTTAAGGGAAAGGTTATTACAATTAGCCTAAGGCCATAGTTTTTCCCAACGCATACATACATTTGATATAAGGAAGTTAGAGTTATTATTGACTGTTAGATACGAGATCCCATTAGTTAAGAAAAGGCTTTGACGATGATGATGAGATGCCAAATCCCGTAGTTAGGGATGTGTCATTGATTGGGTATAAAGTCCAAAATAAAATATCTCTATTGAAATTCAAATCTAATGATTAAACTAATTGTGACGTCCTTGTGCTAAAAATGAATAATCTTATAGTATACAACACATATATAGATGAATTTTTAATGACTAGAGGCCCTTGAAGTGAAATAGCAAACTAAAAAATAAATCAAGAGGACCAAAGGTATGTCTTAAAGGTGGAGAGAGGCCTCCCACACATTATGAGAGAGATTTAAAACAAACCATGGCATCACATCTCCCTTGACATAGCAAAAGGTGCACTGGCATTTTTAAGTAGGGCATTGTCTAGATAAAATAAATGCTTGCTCTTCTAGAGAGTACCTCATTTATGGATACAAAACTTTTGTTTTTTTTTGACAAAAAGATATAACTTTATTAATAATCAACAAAGATTACAACAAAGCCGAAGTATTATAAGCAACAACCAACTCAGAGAGAGAAACTTCTTTGTTAGCTAACCAGTCCGTCATCATATTTGCCTCTCTGTAGACATGTTGGAAATAAAGAGTTAACCGCGGCAGAATGTCAAAGATTTGAAGGCCCAACAATTTCAACTACCAAGGGATACGTTGATCTTTGCTGCACCACTTGATTATATTAAGCGAATCCCCCTCGATCACAAAAGGAAGAGAGGGAAATTTTGTCA